TGTTCTGCTAAACTGGGATCTCTTCATGTTGCCAAGTTTTGTCTTGAACTCATGGCTTCAAAAGGTTCTCCTCTCTCAGCCTCCAAAGGGCTGGAATTATAGGTGTGAGTCACCTCCTAGCATATTTCTGTGTCTTATAAATTGCCAGTGTAACTGGCAGAGGGTTGAAGGAAATAATTTCCCTCTTGAGGAAATCTGAGGTACTAAGAGAAAATACTAGAGTATCAGAAATAACATCATCAAGCAGATATGAAGCATTCATGGTTCTGTCTTTATATTCTTACGAAAAGGGTTGCTCTGTGATTTTATCTCTAAAATACTGAGCATGTGTGGCTTTGATGATTCATGTTTCAGCTTTATGAAGTGCCTACTCCTATCTCCTGTGTGGTTTGTAAAGAATGGTAAAGGCCTTCCAAGTTAGAATCCCTGACTGATTAATGTTACCAGGACACCTGCCTCGGGCTTAGCATTAGAGTTGATGATACTGATATAGTTAATCTGCAAAATGAATCTGCAATTAGATTAATATCTGCCTTAATTAATGTGACTGTTCTTTATGTAGTATAGTGACAAATCATACTTCAGTTTCTTTTAGCTAAATGCTCTTGTCCCTTTCACGTGTGACCATGTCTTCACCTGGCTGTTAGGGACAGTGGATCAACACATGCTAGCACATTTTTGGATATCTCATTAAATTACATGTGAATACTGATCTGAACATAAAATGAGATCATCTGACTGCATTTTGCAGTGAGAGTATGAGAACATTTCTAGTAGGAGCAAATCTCTCCAGGCTGGCAACTCAGACAAGAATTTTTCCTGATTGGAACCACCTTCAGGTCAATCAATACCCAAATTTGAATTTTGCTAAGCTCTTGTCTCATTTTACTTAGAACACGATTTTTGGGTGCCACCTGTGGCTCAGTGAGTAGGGCGCCGGCCCATATACTGAGGGTGGTGGATTCAAACCCAGCCCCAGCCAAACTGCAACAAAACACAGCTGGGCGTTGTGGTGGGCACCTGTCATCCCAGCTACTTGGACGAGATGAGGCAGGAGAATTGCCTAAGCCCAAGAGCCAGAGGTTGCTGTGAGCAGTGACACCACAGCACTCTACCAAGGGTGATAAAGTGAGACTCTGTCTCTAAAAAGAAAAGAAGAAGAAGAAGAATGAATGAATGAATTGGGAAAGGAAGTACAATTTCAATAAAGTGGTGATATTCCAATACCCAGAGTTCTAACAAAAGCTGGATTGGAAATATCTGCCTTAATATGACTGTTCTTTATGTAGTTTAGTGACAAATTGTGCTTCAGTTTCTTTTAACTAAATGCTCGTCTCGCTTTACTTAGAACACGATTTGTGGGTGGCTCCTGTGGCTCAGTGAGTAGGGCACCAGCCCCATATACTGAAGGTGGCAGGTTCAAACCCCACCCCTGCCAAACTGCAACAAAAAATAGCCAGGCGTTGTGGCAGGTGCCTGTAAGTCCCAGCTACTTGGGAGGTTGAGGCAAGAGAATCACCTAAGCCCTAGAGCTAGAAGTTGCTGTGAGCTGTCATACCCCAGCACTCTACTGAGGGCAACAAAATGAGACTAGCATTCTGGGAGGCCAAGGCAAGTGGATTGCCTGAGCTCACAAGTTTGAGACCAGCCTGAGCCAGAGTTTGAGGTTGCTGTGAGGTGTGACACCACAGCATTCTACTGAACATAGTGAGACGTTGTTTCAAAAAAAAAAAAAGAATAAGACAATAGCCATGTGTGGTGACTCACACCTATAATCCTAGCACTCTGGTAGGCCTAGGTGGATGGATTGCCTGAGCTCAGGAGTTCAAGACCAGCCTGAGCAAGTGTGACACCCAGTCTCTTTAAAAACAAAAAATGCAGGTGCCTGTAGTCCTAGCTACTTTGGAGGCTGAGACAAGAGGATCACCTGTGCCCAAGAGTTTGATGTTGCTGTGATCTATGATGCTACAGCACTCTACTAAGGGTGACCAAGTGAGACTCTGTCTCAAAAAAACAAACAAACAAAAAAACCATGATTCAATTCATTACTTTTTTTT